GCTAGCAAAAGAGGCAGAATGGTATGTGAGTGAAGCTAGCAAAAGAGGCAGAATGGTATGTGAGTGAAGCTAGCAAAAGAGGCAGAATGGTATGTGAGTGAAGCTAGCAAAAGAGGCAGAATCGTGTGTGAGTGAAGCTAGCAAAAGAGGCAGAATGGTATGTGAGTGAAGCTACCAAAAGAGGAAGAATGGTATGTGAGGGAAGCTAGCAAAAGAGGCAAAATGGTATGTGAGTGAAGCTAGCAAAAGAGTCAGAATGGTATGTGAGGGAAGCTAGCAAAAGAGGCAAAATGGTATGTGAGTGAAGCTAGCAAAAGAGTCAGAATGGTATGTGATTGAAGCTAGCAAAAGAGGAAGAATGGTATGTGAGGGAAGCTAGCAAAAGAGGCAAAATGGTATGTGAGTGAAGCTAGCAGATTCAGGCACAAGAGTCTGCGCATGAAGCAAGCACAGCAGGCCACAATGGGCTGTGGGCCAAAGTCAGATGTGCGGTGAGCGTGGATCGAACACGCGACCTTCAGATCTTCAGTCTGACGCTCTCCCAACTGAGCTATCCCCGCATGTGTGGAAATATGGGGTATCAATACCCGTACCTCTTGCATGCTAAGCGAGCGCTAGACCATCTGAGCTACATCCCCGTTGGAGGCTAACTAGGGCCCTTCATCAATGGCTTGGATTGCAGGAGAGAGGAGAGGATGAATGTAGCATAGGAGAGGATGGAGAGTAAGAGGGGGGAGTAGGAGGGGAGGAGGAAGGGTAGAATGAGGAGGCAGCAGTGGCATCACAGCCAGGAACAGAGTGAGAGTGCATAGCCACTGGTCAATGCAATGTGACTCACCACCGGCTGGTTTTGATGAGCCTGAGGCTTGTTACGGAAAGGTGAGGTTGAAGCTTTGACCCAGCCAAGGACAAGCAGATGTCGGACGGACCCCTCTTGCTGCTGTCCCTGTAAATTAGTGTGGTGGGTGGTGGGTGTTAGTGGTCACACTGGCACCCGCGGTGGTGGTGGTGGTGGTGGTGGTGGTGGTGCTAGTGCTGCTGCTACTTGTGCTGCTGTTGCTGTTGCTGCTGGTGCTTCTGCAACTGCTCATCCATTCATCTTCAATACTCCATTGTCCTGGAACACAGGAGAGGGATCGGAGCGACGTGGAAAGGAGGAGGAAACAACGGATTGAAATGAAAGCCGAAAAAGGGAATTGACAACAAGGGAAGGGAAGTGAAAGCAAATCAAGGGGACTGAAATCAATTGAAGGGAACTGAAAGCAACCGAAGGAAACTTAAAGAGAATCAGGGCAAAGCAGGTCAAAAGCAGCTGAGCATAGCGGAGCTAACGAGTGATGAGAGGGTTCATGCAGAGCAGAGGCGCGAGGCGAGAGCAGCCTGAGGCAGCGAGGTAGCGAGCTGAGCGATGCAAGGGGGGGACTGGGGAGAGAGGGACGCGAGCATGGGATGAATGCAAGCTAACCCGCTAGCCTCTAGATTCTAGAATGAGCTCCTCTGCCGCCCTGCCATGGGCTGCCCTCCCCATGCGCCTCAACCCTCACATTCAGGTCCTGGCCCCTCCCCAGCAAAGGTGCAATGGGTTATGAGAGTTGTTGTGATTGGAAAACGAAACGGAAGGGTGAAGAAGCAGTGGGATGAGAGAGTCACATAGTTTGTGATGGTAGGATTGCTAGGTTGAGAGCACATAGCTTGTGACGCTGCAGCCTAGTCGTGCTGCAAGGTAACTGCCGCTTTACACACTGCGCCTCCAATGCCCCTCTCTTCCTCTGCTCCTGCTGCTTGCTGCATCCTCCCCTTACCATCCCCTTTCCCTTACCCATCATCTTACCATCCCCTTTCCCTTACCCATCATCTTACCATCCCCTTTCCCTTACCCATCATCTTACCATCCCCTTTCCCTTGCCCTTCCCCTTACCCATCATCTTACCATCCCCTTTCCCTTGCCCTTCCCCTTACCCATCATCTTACCCTCCCCTTTCCCTTGACCTTCCCCTTACCCGTCCCTTACCCATCCCCTTACCCATCCCTTACCCATCCCCTTACCCATCGCTTTACCTATCCCCTTACCCATCCCGTTACCCATCCCCTTACCCATCCCCTTACCCATCCCGTTACTCATCCGGTTACCCATCCCATTACCCATCCCGTTACTTATCTGGTTACCCATCCCCTTACCCATCCCGTTACTCATCTGGTTACCCATCCCCTTACCCATCCCATTACTCATCTGGTTACCCATCCCCTTACCCATCCCGTTACTCATCTGGTTACCCATCCCCTTACCCATCCCGTTACTCATCTGGTTACCCATCCCCTTACCCATCCCCTTACCCATCCCCTTACCTATGGTGCACCTGACGCATTAAGCGTCCATGACGCTAGACGCTCGGGTGCAAATGTGGTGGACGCTCACTTGACGCTCACTGTAGGGGAAAGGGATGGGTAAGCGGAAGGGCGACAGGACGACGGAAATGGGCACTGACAGAGAGCAGTACGACAGCCCAGCAGGTTTAGTTAGAGGGGAATGTCAGTGAGGTGGGTGAGAGAGAAGTGGGAGTGATGGGAGGAGGAGGGGGGGGCACGTGACGATGTATTAGAAACTCTGTATTGAAAGGAGGTGAGTGACTGGGCTTGGAGGGGGTTGCCAGAGGGAGTTGCAGGTGGGACAGCCCAAGAGGGAGCAGTGGGAAATGCGAGAGTTGGTGAGTGATGGGAAGGGGAAGTGGGGAAAATGGGGACAGGCATGGGGATAGGGATGGGGATAGGAATGGGGATAGGGATGGGGATGGGGATAGGGATGGGGATAGGGATGGGGATGGGGACGGGGATGGGGATGGGGACGGGGATGGGGATGCGGATGGGGATAGGGATGCGGATGGGGATAGGGATGCGGATGGGGATAGGGATGCGGATGCGGATAGGGATGCGGATGGGGATAGGGATGCGGATGGGGATAGGGATGCGGATGGGGATAGGGATGCGGATGGGGATGGGGGAGAGGATGGCGGGACCATGATGGAGAGCGACCTGAGAGCGACCTGAGAGTGACCTGAGAGTGACCTGAAAGCGACCTGAGAGCGACCTGAGAGCGACCTGAGAGCGACCTGAGAGCGACCTGAGAGCGACCTGAGAGCGACCTGAGAGCGACCTGAGAGCGACCTGAGAGCAACCTGAGAGCGACCTGAGAGCGACCTGAGAGTGACCTGAGAGCGACCTGAGAGCGACCTGAGAGCGACCTGAGAGCGACCTGAGAGTGACCTCTGAGAGCGACCTGAGAGCGACCTGAGAGCGACCTGAGAGCGACCTGAGAGTGACCTGAGAATGACCTGAGAGCGACCTGAGAGTGACCTGAGAGAGACCTGAGAGTGACCTGAGAGCGACCTGAGAGTGACCTGAGAGCGACCTGAGAGTGACCTGAGAGTGACCTGAGAGTGACCTGAGAGTGACCTGAGAGTGACCTGAGAGTGACCTGAGAGTAGGCTTGGGCATCTGGCCCGACCCGGCCCGACCCGTCCCGTCTAGGGCGACCCGTTACAGTAACGGGTCGGGTCGGGTCGGGTCGGGTCTGCAGGTCGATTTTGACTCTGTTTTGGTGACCCGACCCGCCCCGTTGGAACGGGTATTTGTGACCCGTACCCGGGTTGGTTACAGAACGGGTCGGGTCGGGTCGGGTCATTATACGCTACAGAGTATGCAAGGCCGCTATCGCGCTAATGCTGGGCCTGTGGCGGACGTCCGCTAATGCGGGACCGCGAGCGCGCTATTGCGGGGATGCGATCGCGCCAATGCGTGGCGCAATGATGCTGCACTAATGCAGAGCCGCGATCGCGCTGCTGCGCCCCTGGTCGCGCGACACTGCGAAATGTCGGGCGCGCCTATGCCTAACCTGAACATAAAGTGCAAATTAGAGCTAACATTGAAGTGAAGATTGTAGGAGGCTTGGTAGGTGCGGTGCAGAGTTACTAGCTTGATCTGGTCTAGAGACTAGATCTAGATGTCGAGGAACACAAAACATCAAAACCAACTGATCCCCCTCTCCAAAGTGTACCCTAATCAGATAACGGGTCGGGTATCCCTGTCATTTGACTGGGTACACGACCCAGACGGGACGGGTCAACCCGACCCGGCGGGTCGCTGATACCCGTCCCTAAATCACAGTGACGGGTCACGGGTCGACCCGACCTGTCCGGGTATACCCGACCTGACCTGGGCGGATCGACATTCTCAGCATTCCTGACCCGTCCGGGCCAAATGCCCATGCCTACCTGAGAGTGACCTGAGAGTGACCTGAGAGTGACCTGAGAGTGACCTGAGAGTGACCTGCCATTGACCTGCTACTGACCTGCAACTGACCTGCTACTGACCTGCTGTTGACCTGCTACTGACCTGCTGTTGACCTGCTACTGACCTGCTGTTGACCTGCTACTGTCGTGCTACTGGACCTTGTGGAATTAAAAGCTGAAACAGAGCATCCAGCAGCTTCGCCCAGCCTCGCCCCACGCGTGACCCACCAATGACTCACCACAAGCATCAAGCAGCACAACCCACTACTCGCCCTTCCTGAGAACCAAATCAAGCATCACTGCCCTTCTCCCTTTGTTCCTCCACTGCCCGCCTTTCAGGAAGAACACCACGATGAGCCACCCAGCAGCCTCGCCCAGCTTCGCCTGCAGCCTCACACACACCTCCGCCACGTCAGCAACCCACAGGTTGCCGCCATTCGCTGCAGCCTTTCCCCATGAACAGTGCGCCCATGCCTTAAAGAGAAGGAGCCAGAAGCTGGTGTAGGAGATGGGAGGAGGGAAGAGGAAACGGAGCAGTATTTTGAGAGCGGTACAAGAGACAGTTCTGTGAGGGCGAGAGTCAAGGGCCAGCAGACGGAGTCGGAGAAGCAGGTGCGGAGCTACGGGAAAAGGGGGGACTTGGACCAATGCTTTGTGAGAGAGTAGGAAATAGAGTGCGAAACAGAGGTGCTTTACAGTACCGCAAGGGCAGAGTCACTGCGGTGGGGCGTGAGAGTGAGTAACAGGTGCCGAGCTGGGGGAGAGCGGGGGAAGCGGGAGACGGGAAAGGGAGGGAGCAGGAAAGGAGGGAAGGGAGCAGTGGGAAGTGGGGTTGAAGGAGACGCAGGTGCGTAGTTCGGGAAGAGGGGGTGAGGGGGAGACGCACCCTCCTTTCACCACCCCTCCTTGGAGCTCAAAAGCATCCTCTATAACCTGCAATTCCAAGGGACGGGGCCGGGAGGAGAGGGAGGGGGGGGGGGGGAGGGGTTGGGGGGGGGAGGGGAGATGAGGGAAAGGGTGAACTGCACAGTGCTGTAGGGGCACGAAGTGGGTGGGCCAAGAGTCTGCGTGGGAGAAGGATGTGCGGAGCTGGTGGTACGAGGGACAGAGACGAAAGGAAAGAGGGTAATGGGTGTTGAAAGGAAGGTGAACAGTGTGCAGCCTCAGCAACTCACAGGTACCCCCTTGAACAGTGCACTCAATTTGCAGGGGCAGGAATGCATGGGCCAGAAGTCAGTGCAGGAGAAGCAGGTCCGGTGGGAAGCTGGTGGGTGAGAAGAGAGGTGAGAAGAGAGGGAAAGGGAGGTGGGAAGAAGAGAGAAAGGAACATTGTGTGGGTGAGGTGAGAGCAGTGCAGCGCCACCATATGAGAAGCAGGTGCGGAGCTGGGAGGAGTGGGGAAGTTGAGGGGGAGGGATAGCATACGGGGAAGGGAGGGGATAGTGGCTTGGTTTTTGGGGAACAGTGGTGGCCAAGTCCGTGCTATGTGGCACACGTGGGTGTAGAAGTAGTTACGCGGCTGGTGGGAGGCGGGGTCAAGGGGGGGAGAGGAAAATCAGCAGTGGTTTGTGAGCGGAATGTGGGAGACACAGTGCCGTAGGGGCAGGAATATGTGGGCCGGAAATCAATGTGGGTTTGTTGAATAACTCGTCCACTCATGCTTGATAATAATTCTTGTTGCTACCGTAAAGATTTTAAGCACTATTTTTTTGGTCTGCTACGCAGGAAAGTACGGCTCTCGCTGGCATTGCAATGCTCAGGGCCGCCCATTTGCCAACAAGGCCTTTGATCTGGCAGTGACAAGGGGTTTTTGCAGTGCCAGGTGCAACGACTTCCCTCTGAAGATTCCTGGTCTTGCTTTCGTGTGCTTCGTGGTGAGTGCTGATTGTCATGCGTTTTCATAAATACAAAATCACATCTAACGGAATCTTGTGCTGCTGCAGGTGGAGTGGACCAACGCCAACTGGAATGGCAGGGGTGGGACCTCCTTGGACCAAGTTGAGCTCAACAATCGCAACAACGTGAAGGCGAAGACTGATGTCGTTGTGGCGTGGCTCAAGGAAACCCTGGAGAGGGAGCCAGCCACATTCAAGCCCGATTTTCCCCCAGGGTTTGAAATGAACCCGAGAGAGAGACTGGACGAATCGATTCCTTTGGTTCGGATCTTGATCGAGGGGTGGGAGAGTTTTTTCTTCCCCTCTGGTGTTCCACAGCCTGGGCAGTGGCCACCTGTGTAGCTTAGTTCCTAGCGTAGGTAGGTCTGTAGTTTAATAATTGCGCTCTCTTCGTTACTAGCTCTGTCATAACGCTAATGCTAATTATTAAATTTTAATTGCTAATTTGGAATGTGCATTTCTACGAAAGAATATTTGCTACATTTAGTAGGGCTATAATGATTTTAACAATAATTTTGTATCATTTTGGTTCTACGAACACTTAAACATAAAAATGTTGGAGTGTAGCTTTGGTTACGCACGCAAAAAAACCGGGTAACGCGATGATGCGATGACTGCAAGTAACAGTAACCCTAACTTCGTGGTGCAGCATAGGTGGCTCGCTGATATTACACTTGCCTGTTGTAAACTGCCGAACTCCCACATTTCCTGTCGCGTTTCCCCAATTACACGGAGTTCGGAACTTCGTCGAACTCTGTGTGTACCAATAACTGGGGTATCGGGAAGTCGCCGCTAACCAACCTGTTTTGCAATGTGCGGCAGCTCACTGGCTAAATCCGACGGTCACTGTAGCATAAAAAACGGGGGGTAACTGGGGTGAGCGCATGCCTAAGTTACGAGCAGTTTCGGCCAGATGGCTCCTCCATTTACGGGGTATCTGGATTACGGGCTCATGAAGCCCGTTTTGCGAGCTAGAACTCCCGCAAACTCCCATTTTCTATTTCGACAACTTTCTGGTGTAGTCTAGTACTAACTAGGCAAGGCGATGCGTGTGTGGCGCTTGACGAGGCAAAATCAGGTACTGAAATGCCCTGCTTCAGCTAGGTCATGTTAGGTTGGAGGCAAGGGCGGCGGTTGAAACTGGTGGGGATGGGAGGGGAGGCGGGTGATTCCGTTGTGCAGGGCTGTTGCTACAGTGGTCCTGCAGCTCAGGGCGTGGAACTTGGGTTGCGGTTGCGGCAGAGGTTGCGCAATGTCAGGTGGTAACTGGATTCGTTTGAACCAGATTTGGCTGGGGCGACTTTCGCCAGACGCGCAAATCATGTTTCGGCGGTTTTCAAACTGGCGTGAGGTGCTTGATTTCTGTGGTGCAGGGCAGTGATGGAATCACTTCAGAGGTGGATTCCAGAGTACAGAGGAGGGAGGGAGGAGCCTTTTGCTACTGTTGTCCGCCACGTCACGTCCCAAACCTGGCTGGAGAAAGTTGGTTGATGGAGATAGTTGGAATCGTGACCGTAGGATGAGGCTCTCGCTGCTGAGGTGGCGATTTTTAATTTCAAATATTGCCGGCAGATTTCCCAGCCCAAATATTGGCCTATATTTCGGCGATTCTGAACCGCCAATTCATCCTGCTGGCTGATTGTCGTTCACTCGAGGAATTTCTGGCAGGGAAGGAATGGCGTAAACCTTGGCTAGAGGAGATCAAATGTTTTAAAAGTTTTAGTGTGAAACTACACACACACCACGGATCCACGCGATAGCTGAAAGTAATAGCTTAAAAGCCTTGCGCTTTTTGCCGAATAAGAAAGAGTACGTCAGTAGAAACAAAAATTTATTGACCTTGAGGTGTGTGTATAAATTTGGAAAGTTAGAAAACGCACGGCAAAAAAAATTAAACCCATAGGGAACCTGGACTCAACTTCGGGAGGGATCAACCCTAAACACGGGAACCCACATTTTTTTTAGGGTTGATGCCTCCCCGAGACGCATCCCTTCCCGATCGGGTTTTAGTTTTTTTCGGTCAGGTAAAGGGATATTTTTTCCAGTGGCTTGCGAAATTTGTGACACGTGGGTGAATGTGGGACCGAGTTCTGTGTTGTTGCCATAATGTTCCTGTCGGAGTGGCGGAGTGGCGGAAAGTGCCCGCATATAGCACTGTAGTCACCTTGAAAGCGCAGGGTCGCTAGTAGTACCCCTGCGAAAGCTACTTACCCATGTAATTTTCAACTGCTGACATGGCGACTCAGACGTGTGTGGTGGATGATATGGAGAATCAGGGCCGTTAGATTGCGAGTACTCCGAAGCGCCGATTCAATCTACTGGCTGGACGATATCAACAACAAACAATCCGTGTCAGCTTTTGGCCTATTCGCGGTTGTGTTCGCTTCTATTCGTGGCGGTTCCCTTCCCTAGCGTCAAGACAACACACACAAATTGTAAATGTCAACCGTTGCACTTGCAAAGTGGTGCAAAGCGGTGAGAACATTCATACTATATCACAGCAGCCCTAACTCATAGCAAGTCTTTCAAGATTCCCTGCCCATCAATTTGAATGCTAATCAATATATGGTGAACATACACGAGATGGATCTTTCATAAACTCTTGTCTGTCCTTTTGCCTTCATACCATATTGTGAACAAAACATAATGTACCGTCTCTTTCACTCCACACCCCTCACTCCCACGAATGGATTCACGCAACATCTTCCAGTTGTGTTGAAACACAGCGCAATTACCGTGCAAACAATCTTCGAACGCCATGTTGAATTATTTTTCAGGATCAAGTTCCTTTTCAGGTTGCAAGTACTGCCGTTGCTTCGATGGTCTTACGATACCCTCGCATGAGAAACCAATCCAAACCATAATCAGTTGAATGTTGTTGACAAACAACCCACCCCATACAGCCCAGACATGGTGATGTTATAAATACTGGGCTAACGATACCAAAATAGATACGGTAGGTAGATCCGTGTTGATCATAGTACGCCAAAGTTTCTGCTCAAAGGTTTCACTAGGAAAATATGTGACCCTCAAAAGGGTTTTACAAAGCACCGAATGATGATGAGTAGTGTCACTTCACTACGCGGTGTCAGGACTGGTGACTGTTTCTTGCACAGATTTCAAATGTCGGCAATTCTGTCCACTGTGCGGTGTGTTTTACGTACACTGGCCTTTTCTTCTTTGTTGGGCGTAGTTTGATTGGCTGGTTTTTATATGATTCAGAACTAGTACACAAAAAAACACTGCCATTGCTGCTGCATCTGCTGCTGCTACAGATTCTGCCGCTGACGTTGCCGTAGGTGCTGCTGATGCTTGTGCCAGTTAGCAGCAGTTTTTTGCTGCAACTCTTCCATTCTCTGGTTTCCCCATGCTGCTGTTGCTGCGGCAGCTGGTGCTGTCTCCTGCTGCTGGTGGACATATGTTGCCTCCCCTTGCTTCTGCTGGTGTGTTCTCCGCTGCTGCTGCTTCTACTAAAGGGGGAGGGGGAGGGAAGGGAAGGGGGGGTGGGGGTTAAGAAACGGTAGGGATGGAGAGGGGAAGGAGGGCAGAGAAAACTCATCTCGTCTTCCCCTTTCAATTGCCGGAGGTGCCAACAACCCCCGTGCTTTACCCACCGCACATGTTTCACCCACCTCCCATGCTTCACCCACCGTGCTTCCCCCCTCCTGCCCACCCCCCCTCGCCTTGCACATCCCAGCCCCAGACCCCCCATCGCCAGGCCTCGTGCCGTCCATACCGCCGTCCCTCCTCTCTCCTCACTTGATTCCCTCCTCTCTCTCCTCACCTGATTCCCTCCTCTCTTTCCTCACCTGATTCCCTCCTCTCTCTCCTCACCTGATTCCCTTCTCTCTCTCCTCACCTGATTCCCTCCTCTCTCTCCTCACCTGATTCCCTCCTCTCTCCTCACCTGATTCCCTCCTCTATCCTCACCTGATTCCCTCCTCTCTCCTCACCTGATTCCCTTCTCTCTCGTCACCTGATTCCCTCATCTTTCCTCACATGATTCCCTCCTCTCTCCTCAACTGATTCCCTCCTCTCTCCTCACCTACTCCCCTCCTCTCTCTCCACCTGCTCCCCTCCTCTCCCCACCTGCTCCCCTCCTTGCCTCACCTGCTCCCTTCCTCTCTCCTCACCTGCTCGCTCCTCTCTCCTCACCTGCTCGCTCCTCTCTCCTCACCCGCTCACCCCACTGTTGTTCCTCCGCTGCTCCTTCCCATTTTGATGCGTCTGCTCTCTTCTCCTCCTGTGTCTCCTGTTTTCACCTGCTGCTGCTCTTGTTGCGTGCTGCTGCTCTGCTGCTCATGGCAGCACGTGAGAACAGAGAGGAAAAAAACTAATTCAATTTGCTTAGTGTCAACACTATCCTTCCCTACTACTCTCTGCCTGCATAACATTGATCTAGCACTAGATGCGTAAGTATAAACAATTTGTTGTACCACACGCGTTCGTGTGGACTGTTATGGCTTGCTGCCGTCTCATAACTCACACGATGTTTGATTGACCGAGCGGTAATATAGGAGGAAAGGAACATCAGTGTCAAGTTTGCATTTACAATTGTTTCAACGCTAGTTGCTGAACTCATGGCGCAATGAATGATGCGAAACACAATAAACAAGAAGAAACAAACCATGCTAACGTTGGTGACAAGGGCTAACGGACACTGCAATGGCTGCGTACGGTGAGCTGCTCCTGATGCAACTACTGCTGCTGCTGCTGATGCTGCTGCTGCTGCTGCTGCTGCTGCTGCTGCTGCTGCTGCTGCTGCTGCTGCTGCTGCTGCTGCTGCAGCAGCTGGTTGCTGTGGTTCTTGGCTGGAAAGGGGTCGGGCACGGGTGTTGAAAGGACCTGATGCGGCAGCACCGGCGGTTGTAGCAGCAGCAGTGGCAGCGGCGGCTACTGCTGCTGCTGCCCCCGGCCCTACCTCCTCCGCCCCCACTACACTCACTGCCCTCCCGTTTGCTGATATCAGCTTCTGACATGCGGTGTAGATGCCGATGGGTTGAGAGCGGTGAGAGTGGAGGAGGAGGGGGTGGATAGAGACGGGAGGGAGGAGAAGGAGGAGGAAGGAATGGCAAACTGGGAGACTCGGGGTGTGGAGGAGTGGAGGAAGGACCAGAGAAGGCAGAGGAGGAGGAGGGTGAGGGAGCAGAAGGGAAGAGACGAGAGGGGGAGGGATGCACAAGAGGGAGTGAATGCAGTGGAGGTGCGCCCTGCCTGCCTGCAACCTGGTCAAACACAAAGGGGAGAGACTTGGGGTGCGGGGGAGTGCAGGGAGGACCAGAGGAGGAAGAGCAGAGGATGAGGGGAGGAGGGCGAGGAAGGAGAGGAGGGGGGCGAGGAGAGGGCGAGGGATGCATGAGAGGGAGTGAATGCAGAGGAGGTGCGCCCTGCCCGCACGCCTTCCCATGCCGCCATCCCTTCCCATCCCGCCGCCCCTTCCCATGCCGCCATCCGTATGCAGCCGCCCCTTCCCATGCCGCCATCCCTTTTGCGCGTGCTGCGGCTGCTCCTGCCGCTGCTGCTCCTGTTGCCGCGTGCCGGTGCTCTGCTGCTCATATGGCAGGGCGGACGGCAACAATTTGGCAAGACAGGGGAGCACAAATGTGGTAACATGGTAACATGGTAACCTGGTCAAGTTACCATGTCCATTGTGTAAAATAACATATGTTTATAACATTGTGAGCACAAATACAGCGAGTAATAACATGGTAACAGGTTCCAGATTTTCAACAGCATTGTTGATACATTTTCACGGTTCTAATATGCTATACATATAGTTCTACTTTTGAGCATTATAATTGTTCATATTCCATTGACCATGTAACCTCCAATACTGTATTGTCGTTATTAGTGTTATTTATTAGTAACAGACAAATCAGGCAAGAATCAGGCAGTCACAAACTACACATTCACACTAACTCTAGAAGCAATAAAACTATTACCATAACAATCACCATGTCACTATGATAAAATCTATGACAGTCACCAGGGTTGAATCTGCCGGATTTCCTGCACAATAGAGTATACGATAATACAGGTGTTTGCATTGAAATTTTAGTGACTTACAGGTTCGACCATTCTGCCAGAGTTTTCACGGTCAATGACTACATGGGGGGGAAACGACCCCACGCTTAATAATTCGACCATTCCGCGGTTGTTTTGCACATAAGCGACCTGCAAACAACATCGAAGGAAAACAAACAAACAGAAAGTCGATGGAATTTTTGAACGGGCTATAAGTGGCTAGGGCGAACAAGTCGCTACCGTACCAGACACACGAGAAGGCGCACCAAAGGCATAGTAGCTGAGTATGCAAGCAAGGCCTTCCATCAGGTTCGCGATCGACCTACGCAGAAGCAAAATCAAAGCATGGTTAACGTGTGGAAACGGGGTGACGATGAAGCGACAATCGTGTGCAAATTGGCGATACATGGTAGATCTAGACATGCATTAGACAGAAGCATTGAAAAATAACATAAGAGAAAAACAACACACGTAAAGTCGAAAACACGCTGAAGGAAGATGAGTAGCACCTGAGGCGACGGAGCAGGACTACGCGCAGAGAGAAGTAGGGAATACGGGTGAGCTGAGACAGTACGGGTGAGCTGAGAGAGTACGGGTGAGCTGAGAGAGTACGGGTGAGCTGAGAGAGTACGGGTGAGCTGAGAGAGTATGGGTGAGCTGAGAGAGTACGGGTGAGCTGAGAGACAAGGGGAGACACATCCTAAGAGCAGAGCAGTAACAACTATCGAAGAGCAGGCATGCGTATGCGAAAGAGCAGAGGAATGGAAAAATCCTAAGGCCTTGACTACGGACGGAGAAATGAGGGAGGGAGGGAGGAGGGAGAGGGGGAGGGAGGACGAAGTCGAGTTGGTATCTCGGGCATGTCAACCAAAAAGTCGGCAAAAGAAAAAAAGAAACAGAAACTTCATCCAAGAAACATTGAGTCTCGAAAGTGGCATGTCACATTCCAAAACTGTAGTGAACGGTCAAACGAAATTTTGCACACAGCCACCGAAGCCACTAGCGCATCACGTGGACCACTTGGATGAGTGACTTGTATTGGTGAAGCTGCCACCAACGCATCAAGGGAACCAGTTGGATGAGGGCGTTTTGATGAAGCGACCAGAGTAACCTCGCGTGACAAGAAATGTGCTGGCGCACATGATACAGACGAAATCTATTCGATGGGAAAAAGTTTGGTGGAATCATGCTAAATTCCACCTGTGCGTTGGCAAAGTCGGTGCCGTACAACGCACCTGGCACGCCGTGTTTTTTGCGTGGACAAACGCCAGCTCGACAGATGTGGCAGCATTGCTGTTGCGTCGCACATATCAAACGACCAGGCCACATTCTACACATGTTTTAAACAAGTCCCACCTTTTTACAAATCTCTTTCGTTCAATGTCCAAAATCTGTTATCGAACAAAACATCAAATAGTCAGCAATATATTCGATTTTCAACACCAAGCAGCTAACCGTCGAATTAGTGTGGGGTTCATGTGTATTTGTGTCTATATTATCAACAAAATGTTCCTTCAAAAACCAATATAGGCATATATCCTATAGTTCCGGCAGCATTAAAGCTATGAATTTCATTTAAGTACATATGTTAAACTTATAGAAAACTAGTATAACTCTGAACATATATGTGCAAGGATAGGCCTGTGCTACACGAGGAGCTGTATCGAAGTTTGTTTGATGTTTTGAACAAGGGTTTTATGAGCATTTAAGCAATTAATCTTTCCAAGCATGTTGAACAGATTTGGTGTCATTCGCAACATCTGAAATGAATATATGTTGTTTCAAACAAATATGCAATGATAGGCCTTCGCGATTTGAGGTGCCGTATCGATATCTGTTTGTTATCATTGAAGAATTGTATATATTCCCAGCATTTTGAACATATTTGATGCCATTCGCTGCACTTGGTAGGAAGATCTGGTGTTTCAAACAATCACGCGGGAAACAAACGTACAAGGATAGACCAACGCGACACGTGGTGCCGTATGGACGCCTCTTTGTTTTTCTAAGCAAGGTTTCTTGTGATAATTAAGAGCATTTAGTATCTTACAATAATGCACAAGTTTGATGTCTTTCGCAGCAGCATGTAGGAAGATATGCTATGTCAAATAGTTGTGCAAGGAAAATCGTGCAAGGACAGGCATGTGCGACACGTGGTGCCAAATTAACATCAGTTTGTCATTTTAAGCATGGTTTCTTGTGACCATTCAAAAGTCAAATAAATTACAAGCACGCTGGACAAATTTGGTATTATTCGCAGCAGTATGTATGACGATATCTTGTGTCATGCAATAGTGCAGTGAACGCCATGCAATGATAGGCCAGTGCGACACGTGGTGTCGTTTCGACCTCTATTTGTGATTTCTCACAAGATTTATCTTAAATTTTCATATATGTACCGCATTCCAAGCGTGCTGGACAGATTTGGTGCCATTCGCAGCATTTGATTTGAAGTTATGATGTTTCAAACAACAATGCATGAAACGCAATGATAGGCCTGTGCGACACGTGGTGCCGTTTCGACGTCTGTTTGTATTTTCTAACAAGATTTCTCTTGATCATTTCTATATTTACCATAATTCAAGCATGCTGGACAGATTTGGTACCATTCGCAGCATATGATAGGAAGATATGGTGTCTCAAACAACAGAGCAATGAAAACCATGCAAAGATAGGTCTGTGCGACACGTGGTGTCGTTTAAACGTCTGTTTGTTATTTCAATCAAGATCTCTTATGGTCATTCGTACATTTATTATATTCCAAGCATGCCAGACAGATTTGGTGCCATTTGCAGCATCCGGTAGGAAGATACGGTGTCTCAAATAAGTGAACAGGGAATACTATGCAATGATAGGCCTGTGCGACATGTGGTGCTGAATGGACGTCTGTTTTGATATTTCAAACAAATTTTATGGTGATCATTCATACATTTACTATATTTCAAGCATGCTGGTCACATTTGGTGCCATTCACATCATATGATAGGAAGATATGATGTCTCAAACAAATTTGGAGAGAAAACTGTGCAAGGATAGACCTGTACGGCACGTGGTGCAGAATGGACATCCGTTTGTTGTTTTAAACATGGTTTCTTGCTATGATTTAAACATCTAATAGATTACAAGAATGCTGGACAAGTTTGGTTGTGAGAATAAGAACGAGGAATGAATTGACTAGGAATGAGAAAGGTACAAGTATGAAACCCTAGAAAAGCTGTACCCCCTATTGTCTACCCCACTATAGCCTACATAAGCTATATCATATATGTCTGACACACCCCCATAGGCAAAGTGGGGGAGAACAAGGGGTCACACGACTAGTCAAGGAAACCAAGGCAAGCTCACGGTGGATCACAACGTCACCACACATTCTGAGCACAGGTTCTAAGGCCACAAGGCCAGTTCACATGCAGGATTATAAATCAAAGTGAACAAGCAAGATAGTGATCACAACCTAACAAAGGTAAGCATGCAGGAGCATGTATAGATAGATCACAGTACAAGCAAAGTCAAGAGGTAAGCAAGTGAGGCCCGGTAGGCACAAGGCCCGGTAGAAACGCTGATGATCACAAGGCTGAAGTGCCTTGGTGAAGATATCAGCAGTGTTGGCCTGAGAGGCCACGTACGCAAGACGAAGCTGACCACGAAGCCCGTCGAGCAGCTCCCTCACTGTGAATGGTAGGCTGATTTTCCCGTACATCCGACCAAGTCGTCGTCGTCGTTGCCCAAGCGAGGGCGGGGCCAACACTCCGTTCCCGTTAACACATTATGCACCACGTGTCGCAGAGGCCTGTCCTTGCACGGTTTTCTCTCCACAATTGTTATAGCATAACTGCCTACATGCTGCTGCGAATGACACAAAACTTGTCCAGCATGCTTGTAATCTATTATATGTTTGAATCATTTCAAGAAACCATGTTTGAAACAACAAACGGATGTCCATTATGCACAACGTGTCGTTCAGGCCTATCCTTGCATAGTTTTCTCTCCACATTTGTTTGACACAGCATAACTGCCTACTCTGTGAGAGAATGAAGATGATTGAACTAGAAGAGAAATGAGTACAAGTACCTAACCCTAGAATTGTGTACCCCCTAAAGGCTAACCCACTGTAGCCTAAACAACTACAACATATATAATGTTTGACACACCCCCATAGGCGAACTGGGGGAGAACAAGGGGTCACAAGACCAGTCAGAGCAAGGCAAAGCAAAACAAGCTCAGGGTGGATCTCAAAGGATACCACACAAATTCCGAGCACAAGCAAGTGGTCACAAGACCAGTTCACATGCAGATTGATAATATAACAAGAGGTACAGTGATCACAACCTAGCAAGTGTAAGCATGCAGGTATAGATAGAGATCACAGTACAAGCAGAGTCAAGAAGTGAGCAAGTGAGGGACAGTAGGCACAAGGCCTAGAACAGTACAGAAACGCTGATGATCACAAG